GAGAGAGAGAGAGAGAGAGAGAGAGAGAGAGAGAGAGAGAGAGAGAGAGAGAGAGAGGGAACAAAGTATAGTAGAGTACAATAAACTTGAATAAAGTACAGTAGAGTACAATAAAGTACACTAGAGTGGAGTAGAGTCGACTATCGTAAAGTAGATGATCTTACCAAAGAGTATCGTAGGGTAGTGTAGAATAGAGTGCCGTAGAGTAGAGTAGTGTAGAGTAGAGTAGAATAGAGTAAAGTAGAGTTGAATAGAGTATAGTAGAGTAGAGTACATTAGAGAAGAGTATTATGAAGTACAAGAGAGTATGGTCTCGTATCGTATTGTATCGTATCGTAGAGGGGAGGAGAGAGGAGTAGAGTAGAGTAGAGCATCGTAGAGTCGAGTAGAGCATCATAGAGTGTTGTAGAGTAGAGTATAGTAGATAAAAGTATCGTAGGGTAAGTACAATAGAGTAGAGTATCATTGAGTAAAGTAGAGTAGCGTACAAAAGAGAAGTATAGAGTACATAAGGGTAGAGTAGAGTATAGTAGAGTAGAGTAGAGTAGAGTAGAGTAGAGTAGAGTAGAGTAGAGTGGAGTAGAGTAAAGTAGAGTAGACTCAGTAGAGTACACTATCAGAGGGAGCAGAGTAGAGTAGATTATCATCGAGTAGCGTATAGTAGAGCCACGTAGAGTAGAGTATTGTAAAGTGGAGTAGAAATAACTACAATAGAGTACAATCAAGAAGAATATCGTAGAGACTCAGTATAATAGGGTCTCGTAGAGTATTGTAGAATAGAGTAGACTCAGTAGAGTAGATAAAATTATCATAGCGTAAAGTACTGTAGACAGTGTATAGTACAATAGAAGATCATATAGTATCGTAGAGTAAAAAATCATAGAGTAGACCAGAGTGAAGAAGAGTGGACACAGTGGAGTATAGTAGAGCAAAGTAGAGTAGAGTATAACAGAAGACAAGAGTAGAGTGAAGTAGAGTAGAGTAGAATATCAAAAAGAAGAGTATCGTAGAGTGGACTATGAGAGAGTAGAGTATCGTAGAGTAGAGTAGAGCACAGTAAAGTGGAGTCTAGCAGAGTACAGTCGAGTGCACTAGAGTAAAGTACAACAGAGTACACTAGAGTGAAGTAGAACAGAGTACACTAGAGTAAAGTACAACAGAGTAGACTAAAGTACAACAGAGTACACTAGAGTAGAGATGAGTACAGATGGGTATAATAAAGTAGAGTCTAGTAAAGCAAAGTAGAGTAGCGTAGACTCTGTAGAGTAGCGTAGACTCCGTAGAGTAGCGCAGCGCAACGTAGAGTGGAGTGGAGTGGAGTGGAGTGGAGTGGAGTGGAGTAGGGTGGAGTGGAGTGGGGTGGAGTGGAGTGGAGTAGAGTGGAGTGGAGTGGCATGGAACGAAGTCGAGTGGAGCGGAGCGGAGAGAAGTGGAGAGGAGTGGAGAGCAGAGGAGCGGAAAGGAGAGGAGTGGAGAGGAGAGGAGAGGAGTGGAGCGGAGTGGAGTGGAGCGCAACGAAGTGGAGTGTAGTGCAGCGGAGTGGAACACAAGGAAGTGGAGCAGAGTGGAGAGGAGTGGAGTGGAGTGGAGGCGTAAGGAGTGGAGAAGACCGAAGTAGAGTGGAGTGGGGAGGCGTGGAGTAGAGTGGAGTGGAGTGGAGTGGAGTGGAGTGGAGTGGAGTGGAGTGAAGTGCAGTGGAGTGGACTGAAGAAGAATGGAAAGGAAGAGAATGGAAAAGATCAGCGTGGAGTAGAGCAGAGCAGAGTGGAGTAGAGCAGAGTAGAATACAGTAAAGTAAAGTCGAGTAGAGTAAAGTAGAGTAGAGTAGAGAAGAGTTGCATAGAGTAGAGTAAAGCAAAGTGGAGTCGAGTAGAGTAACGCATAGTAAATTATTGTGGTGTCGCATAGAGTAACATAGAGTAGAGTAGAGTGAGTCGAGTAAAGTCAAGTGGAATAGAGTGACATGAAATGGAGTGGAGTTGAGTGGAGTGGAGTGAAGTCGAGTGAAGTTGAGTCGAGTGTAGTGGAGTGGAGTGAGTAAAGTGGAGTGGAATGAAGTGGAGTGGAGGAGAATGAAGTTTAGCACAGTGGAGTGGAGGAGAGTAGAGTGGAGGAGAGTAGAGAACTTAGTGAAGTGGAGTAGAGTGGAGCGGAGTGGAGTGGAGAAGAGTGAAGTGAAGTCAAGTTGAGTAGAGCAGAGTAGACTATAGTGGAGTAGAGTGGAGTAGAGTAGAGTAGAGTGGAGTGGAGTGGAGTGGAGTGGAGTGGGGGGGAGTGGGGGGGAGTGGGGGGGAGTGGATTTGAGGGGAGAGGATAGCGGGGGAGTGGAGAGGAGCGGAGAGGAGTGGAGATGAGAGGAGAGGAGAGAAGTGGACCGGAGAGAAGTGAAGCGGAGTGGACCGAATGGAGTGGGGTGGAGTGGTGCAGAGCAGAGTGGAGCAACGTGGAGTGGAGTGGAGTGGAGTGGAGTGAAGGCGAGTGGAGTGGAGTGGAGTGGAGTGGGTTGGAGTGGAGTGGAGTGGAATGCACTGCGGTGGAGTGGACTGAAGTACAATGGAGAGGACGAGAGTGCAGAGGATCAGAGTGGAGTAGAGCAGAGCAGAGTAAAGCGACGTGGAGTCGAGTGGAGCGAAGGAGAGTGGAGGAGAGTCGAGTAGAGCATAACAGATTGGAAAGTGAAGAGCATAGTAAACTCAAGAAGAAAATAGTAGTTTAGAGTAGAATGTTGTGAAGTAAAGCAAAGTAGAGTAAAGAAAAGTCGAGTAGAGTTGAGTATAGTAGTGTAGAGTAGAGCAGAGTCGAGTCCAGAAGAGTCATGTAGAGTAGAGTAGAGTCGAGTAGAGTACAGTAGAGTAGAGTGGAGTGAAGTGGTGTGGAGTAAAGTTGAGTGGAATGAAGTTGAGTCGAATGGAGTGGAGTGGAGTAGAGTGGAGTGGAGGAAAGTGGAGTGGAGCAAAGTGGAGTGGGGTGGAGTAGAGTGGAGTGTTGTGGAATGGAGTAGTAAAGAGTGGAGTAGTGTAAAGAAGTGGGGTGGACCAGAGTAGAGTGGAGTGGAGTAGAGTAGAGTGGAGTAGAGTAGACTGGAGTAGAATAGGGTTGAGTAAAGTGGAGTAGATTGGAGTGAAGTGGAGTGGAGTAGTGTGTAGTGGAGTAGTGCAGAGTGGGGGAAAGTGGAGCGGAGTAGTGTAGAGTAGAGTGGAGTGGAGTTGAGTCGACTCAGTCCAGTGGATTGGAGTGGAGTGGAGTGGAGTGGGCGGGAGGGAAGTGGAGGACAGTGGAGGATAGTGGAGTAGAGGAAAGTGGAGTAGAGGAAAGTGGAGTAGAGCAGAGCACAGTGGAGTATTGTCATCAGAGGCGAGTAGAGCAGAGTAGAGTGACGGCGCATAGAGCAGGGCAAAGCAGATTATAACAAAGTAGAGGAGAGTAGTGTAGAACAAGGTAGAGAAAAGAAGAGAAGAGAAGAGCAAAGCAGGAAAGTGAAGAGCAGGGAAGTGTAGAGTAGAGAAGCATAGGGAAGAGAAGTGTAGGGAAAAGAAGAGTAGAGAAGAGTAGGGAAGCACATAGTGGAGAAGAAAGGGTAGAGTAGTGTCGAGTGTAGTTAGATTGAAGTGGAGTAGAGTGGAGTGGACTAGAGTGGAGTGGAGTAGAGTGAAGTGGGGTGGAGTGGGTTAGAGTGGAGTGGAATGGAGTAGAGTGGACTGGAGTGAAGTGAAGTTGAGTGGAGTGGAGTATAATGGAGTAGAGCGCAGTGGAGTAGAGTAGAGTAGAGTAGAGCGTAGTGGAGTCGAGTGGAGCGGAGTATAGTAGAGTGGAGTGGAGTGGAGGAGAGTATAGAAGAGTGGTGTGGAGGAGAGTGAAGTAGAGTAGAGTTGAAAGGAGTAGTGTAAGGCCGAGTGGAGTAGAGCGGAGCGGAGTGAAGGAGTGTAGAGCTATGAATCTGCCCCGGAGGTGGCCATGCGCGGCCAAGGTCGGGCCTGCGCGGCCTCGCAGCGACCAGTGTAACCCCGCTGCCATGGCTTGGCGGTCGTGTAGCGACCAGTGTGGGGGGGGAGAGAGGGTTTGGGGGCAGATTGGGGTTGTGCAACCCCGACCCCAACCCCTCAAAGAAAAAAAGAATATTCGGAGGCGGTGAGTTAGGGGAAAAAAAAAAAAAAAAAAAAAAACATCTTGATTGATTGATTGATTGATTCACAAGCTGCCGCGCGACAACAAAACGTGCGGTAGAGTATATTTCCATGTTCTAGCGATAGATTCATTCAATTTTGCTCATTCTATCCATGGAAGTACCATGAGGCCAGCCGCAAGGTTGGAGACTCTCTCTCTCTCTCTCTCTCTCTCTCTCTCTCTCTCTCTCTCTCTCTCTCTCTCTCTCTCTCTCTCTCTC